TGGATTAACATTTTTTGAAAGTTCAGTATTTTACGCAAAAAACTATTTTGAGAATTGAATTATACCAATTAATAGATTAGATATATACTGACTACCTATTACTCTATTTCGTAAATAAACAATTTTTTTACATAGCCAATTGAACATAGATAGCATAAAGTGTTTTAGATTTACACGGTCTAAAAGAATAACGGTTTATATTGAATGAAAACTATTCGCCAAAAACTAGTCTTCTCTTTCAAAATATAAATACCTTAACTTACGAAAATTATTAATTTTTACACTATTTAATATATTTTAACATTTAAAAGTCTCCTAATTCTTATATATTTAGTAAATAGACATTTTTAACCTACGTAAACGATAACAAACACCCTCTCTGATCTAAATTTTTTGAGAAATGAAGAATAAATTTTTTAAAAATCAATAATCAAGTAAATTATTGCCATAACTGTCCAAAACAGAATTATTTCACCTAAAATTTTAAACATTTCACTAAATAAAAGCCCTCTATTTTACTATATATGGTAACTAAATATAATTATATATTGATACAAGTTTTTATACTTTGTTTTTCATTAAAATAACATTGTTGAAGATAAAGGACTTATAATCCTTCCATATTTGGTATTTTAACATTTGTATTGTTTTCGTGGTCTGCTAGACCAATTAATATCTATCAATTATTTAAGGTTTTAAGTTGAGAATCTGAAAAATGGCAAAAAGGAGGGAAAATTCAAAAGGTGGGGTTGAGATGGGAAGTTAGTGTCCGAGTGGATCGAAGTCACGATAGCTCAAGTGGTAGAGTAGCGGCGTATCGAGCCGAAGATCATGGGTTCTAATCCCGCTCGTGACACTTACTTTTTTATCTCAACTGAAAACCTTAATTGATTTGTAATAATAATCCATTCATGTTTACCGGTCATAATTGATCATATTAATTGTTTCAATTAATTTTTTTTATTTTTTATATAAGGTCAAAGTTGAGATGAAAAAGTCCGAATCCCACTCGTAACGCTAACTTTTTCATCTCAACCAAGACTTTAGATAAAAAAAGAATAATTAATTGATGTAGTAAGGTTAAACTTATGTAATAATTTACTACTAATAAAGTCCTCCCCGTTATTATTTGCTGTTTCTTTGAAGTAAAAAAAATAATATTTTTCCGAATATAAATCTGATAACTAACAGCAATCCAATTATTTTACCTAAAATTATATAAATGTCCCGTAATAAAAGTGTCCTCCCCTCGAGTTTTATATATTTGGTAAATAATTTTTTTTTTAACTTACTCGTTTTAACAGTAATACAATTAAGACCGCTGGATTAATATTTGCTGACGGTTTATTTGAAAAAAATCAACCTTTTAAAATATAAATGTCATCAATAAAAGTCACTTTGTTATTCTATATTTTGTGCGTAAACATTTTAATACTTTATTTTTTTAAATATAAGAGTAAAAATCCCTCATTTCTTTATATTTTGTATATAACATTTTTAATATGTCGAATTACATGTTTCTAACATCAAGCTCTCTGAATGATCAAACCTTTCTAAAAGCTAGAATACTGTTTATACAAATATATAATATTGAACTGACCAAACGTAATTATTTTATTTTAAAATTAAATCACTTCCATTAAGTAAAACTGTCCCAATTTTAATGCATTTCATAAATAAGTATTTATGCTTGTATCACATCGGAATGAACAGTGATGACATTAAGCCTTGTTTAACTTTTTATCAAGCGATAAACTTTTTATACAGTGGGAAGAGGACAGATATAAAAAATGCGGCGACAATGTCTTCAGCACTTCGACCTTAGGAGAATTATTGTGATCCTTTAATTTTGTAAATCACCCACCAAGTTAAAGGTCCATAGACTTGCCAGCGGCTCCTCCTAAAACGGCCCATAGACGTCAATATTATTGTACAATATAGATTGCACAATAATTTGACGGCTGCCCTTTAACGTTCAATAATATTGTACAAAATTTTGTTTGTGCAATGAACTTGAATAGTTTGAAGGCGATATTGAAGTTTGTGCAATATTTTGTTACTACTTGTTGTACTTCACAAAATGGCTGATATTGCGCAATAATGCCATCAGACGGTGCAATATTTTACAAGTTGTACAATATATTTTCAACTTTTCGTCAATCGTGCAATGTATTGCACAAACTTTCAATATCGTCTACACACGATCAATTAAATTGCACAACCCAAAATATTGTGCAATAATATTGATCGTCTTTGGGCCGCTTAAGAGTATGATCTTGCTTGCGGTTTTTCCTTCCGTAGTTGCAGGAATCTACACCTACATAAAACCTCACAGAAATATATAGCGTGTTCTGTTGTTTTCTTCTTCCTGGCAGTAGCTGCAATGTTCCTTCTGTCAGTACAATCCGGTCCATATACCTTCTTAGGCCGAAGCGCCTTGTCAGGAGTCTAACCTGGTCCTGTTTCGGTTACACTCCAGTAATTTTAAGTCAGGCGTACCTCATACTTGGGGTGTTGTTCCACCAGGTTTTAAGGAGAAATAAGAATCCGTTTTTGGATGTATCCTTTTTACTGACAAGGTGCAAGGCCACAATAAGTTTCGGCGCCCAAAGAGCCCATATTGGCTCCTATTTTGACCAGCATTTATTGTCACCATGTCCCAAATGCCCAGGTACCTATGCCAGGGTCATTGGTGTCACTGATTTCTGCCATGGATGTCATGCCCTTGAGGCTAAAGATCTTAATTGCCGCCTGACTGTGCTTATATCCGATTTTGGCTTTCAGAAGCATTTCTTTCGCCAACTCCCTTTCTGGTAAAAACGTGTCTATAAAAAACGCCTATATTACTAATTGACCTCATTTTAAATCAATTTCGTTGCTTGTAAGTAAACATTTTTTTGGCAAATCGCTGATAAGCCACAAATAAATATTTTTTAAGAGTAATGTAACAAAAAATTAAAAGTATAATAATTGAAAAAACTACTAAAATAATCTTAAAATACTAACAGTAAACAAAGCTAACAAAAGTTTATATTTACATTAATCCATATATTTTTATTGGTCATAATTTACCTCGTATTAATTATTTCAATTAATTATTCTTTTTATCACATGTCTTGATTGAGATGGAAATTTAACGAGCGGGATTCGAACCCCACGAACTTCGGCTACATACGCCGCTGCTCTAACCGCTTGAGCTATCTTGACAAGGTCACTAGCCTCACCATTCACAACGACCTCAACATCTTTTAGGCCAAATCACTTACCATGCATCCAAAGGTCTCCATTAATGTTTAATTGCCTAAGTCCTATCTAAACTTACCTATCTCGAGAACGTCGCCTTTAATCTAAATGGCCTCAAATAATCAGTGTTCTCCACACAGTGCTGTGATTGTGTCAGTGTAGTGTCAGAGAAAAAAAAACAGCTTCCATAATAAATAGAACCTGCGTCTTTACCATCCCTGGAGATTGTTCCATTTGACAAAATTTTGTTATGTATTACTAAATCATTTTTGTTCTGAATTAAGTTTTGACTATCGCCTATAGTTTGGTTCAAAAGATCTCTTTAAAATATAAAAGAAGCCTTTTTTCTATTTTATTGCAATATAAAAAAGAAGCATGGTATGGGTTTTTTTATACAGGGTAAAATGCATATAGAACATTTTCAGGGGTAAACCCTTCGAAAATCAGGCCTTACAACAACTGCTTGGATAAAATTTATGTGTGGTGGTTAGTGACCGTTAATCGATAATTATTCAGGGATGGTGAGATGCGGTCTGGTGTGATGTAGGTTTCAGAAAAACATTTTCTTTATCGTGCCAACGTTTCGATCTTTATTGAGATCATCTTCAGGGCTCAAAGTGTTTGTCTCGCCTCAACACGACACGCAAGAATGGCACAATTACACAGAAGACAAACAATTTGAGCCCCGAAGATGATCTCAATAAAGATCGAAACGTTGACACGATAAAGAAAATGTTTTTCTGATACCTACATCACACCAGACCGCATCTCACGTTCTCTGAATAATTTATGTCAAACATTAAACAAAGTCTTTGTCGAGATGAAAAGCTAGTGTCACGGCGGGATTCGAACCCACGAGTGGTTAGAGTAGCAGCGTATTTAGCCGAAGGTCGTAGGTTCGAATCCCGCTCGTGACACTAACTTTTTCATCTCAACAAAAACCTTCGATAAAAAGAATAATTGATTTAAATAATTTACATTTGCATTTTATATAAAAATTCTCTAAATTGATTTATTATCATTTTTATCAAGCCATTTCATATTCCATGATTGATTTGAATTCAATATTGTTGATTTTTCTTAACAAAACTTTTCATAATAAATTTAATTTTTGTTACATAATATTCTAATTGATAATTAAAATATATCTATTAAACAATACATTTTTTTAACGAGGGTTCGCAACAGCAGAGGTTTATATCAACCCTTGGGGTGCCGGTGGTTTTTGAAAAAAGCCCAATTGTAAATATGTCGGATTCGAATGCTGGGCCGCGGATTCGAACACGGGACCTTTTCCTTACAGTGATGAGCGCCGTGTCAACGCGTAAACCGTTGCGGCCATCGACGCCCCCGAAAAAATATATTAAATATCAATCTAACTGAAAAAATGGTATTAGAAATTTTCTCACTACGTTTCGATATTGTTAATCAATTTATTCTTTTTTTTTAACTGTTAAAATTTGTAGTGACCTATAAATAATTTATTAATAGGGAAAAAATGAGGTTAGCCATGATAAGGCCCAAAATATTAGCATGTCCATTGTAAAAAAAATTAATTAATTATATAATGTTATAAGTCAAAAAAGCTTTGTTTTTTAATCATTCACGCATCTGAAGCACTTAAACACTAACCGCTTGTACATAACACCTCACGTTCATATATTACGCCACTTTTACTTTTTACATTTTCATTTCTTTTTGCTTTTTTTTCGTTTTTTTCCTTTTTATTTTATTGTTTTTTGGGGGGGCTTCGGTAGGTAAAGTGCGGAAGGCGACGCCGGTCCCCCCTCCGAACGAGATCCAGAACGACTTCGCAGGATTCGCCGACGAGAACGCGTCACTTATCAACTGCACCCTGACAATTGTCACGTCTCGGGATCAGAGGATCATCGGCGTTATATCACACTGGATCAACACCTACCATTTCCTGTCAAGTAAGTCCTAATCAGGAGGCTTTAAGGGGGTGGGACTCTTGCCGACGGGGGAACAACGATTCAACCATTGCTCACGTTCATTTTTCAACTAAGTATTTGGTTTATTCAACAATCAAGTCATTACCGTTACATATGCGTGCCTACATTAGCACTTTTCGGATTTTAACATGAAACAATTCATTACAACAAAGAAAAAAATGGATTAAATTGCGAGTTTTTTTTAAACAGATTGATAGATACAAAGCATTATTTGTGGTGTTTAGTGAGTTACTTCATGATTATTTGGAGGTCGTGATGTGCGGTTTTGATCTTTATTGAGATCATCTTCAGGGCCTGGGATTTATACACATCTCAATAAAGATCGAAACGTTGGCACGATAAAGGAAATGTTTTTCTGAAACCTACATCACACCAGACCGCATCTCACGATTTCTGAATAATTTACACATTGTTTAAATTTTACAAACACAAGTAGGATGGCAAAAAATGAACTTATACGATGCTAGTGAATTTTAGATTTAAAAAAATGAATTTTTACAAGGCTAATATATTTTAGATTAAAAAAATGAATATATGCAATGCTAAAATATTTTAGATTAAAAAAAATGAATTTATGCAATCCTAGAAAATTTTAGATTAAAAAAATGAATTTATACAATGCTAGAAAATTTTAAATAAAAAAATGAATTTATACAATGCTGGAAAATTTTAAATAAAAAAATAATGAATTTATACAATGCAAGAAAATTTTAGATTAAACAAATGAATTTACACAATGCTAGAAAATTTAAGATTAAAAAAATGAATTTATACGATGCTAGAAAATTTTAGATAAAAAATTGAATTACACCATGCTAGAAAATTGTAGATAAAAAAATGAATTTATACGCTAGAAAATTTTAGATAAAAAATGAATTTATACGATGCTAGTGAATTTTAGATTAAAAAATAGAATGTACACGATGCTAGAAAATTTTAGATAAAAAATGAATTTACACAATGCTAGAAAATTTAAGATTAAAAAAATGAATTTATACGATGCTAGAAAATTTTAGATAAAAAATTGAATTACGCCATGCTAGAAAATTGTAGATAAAAAATGAATTTATACGCTAGAAAATTTTAGACAAAAAATGAATTTATACGATGCTAGTGAATTTTAGATTAAAAAATGAATTTATACAATGCTAAAATATTTTAGATTAAAAAAAATGAATTTATGCAATCCTAGAAAATTTTAGATTTAAAAAAATGAATTTATACCAAGCAAGAAAATTTTAGATTAAAAAAATGAATTTATACAATGCTAGAAAATTTTAGATAAAAAAATGAATTTATACAATGCTAGAAAATTTTAGATTAAAAAAATGAATTTATACTATGCTAGAAAACTTTAGATTCAATTCAAGTATTGGTACTTTTTTTCACATCATACATGTATTTGTAAAATTTAAACAATGTTTATAAATCGCAGTCCCTGAAGATGATCTCAATAAAGTTCGAAACGTTGGCACGATAAATGTTTTTCTAAACCTACGTCACACCAGACCGCACCTCACGACCTCCAAATAATCATAAATCATTATGTTACGACATTTATTTATAGATGAGAATTTAATGATTAGCTATTACAGAGAACAAAATGAACAATACCTTTAAGGGCAAAATTATGATTTTTTGAAACATTATGTGAAAATGACAGAACTGTTGATCTGCCTACGGGCAAATTATATACGTCGAACCCCAAGGGTCGTCCAATTAGCCAAATCCTCCGATTAAATTAGATAAAACCTAAATTATATCTAGTCGTTTTGGGATTAAAATTGAATAATTCAAACGAGAATCTCTCCTTGCAGACACAATTAATTGAAATAACTCAGGACGAACCCTAAACACCATAAATCAGGGATAATAGCTTCCGTTATCACGCGTCCGACCATCTTAATATCAATAGATACAAATCCACCCCTTGTGGAAGATACCCTAAATCACTGGGAAATATTAACAAATAACAATATTCACTATTCCCAATTAAATCAGGACTTGGGTTTTTGGTTTGTTTAACATTTTATTAAGTTGGGCTTGTAAGTTATTTTTGCCATTTTAATTTACTTTTAGTTTTTCGAAAAGTTCATCCTACTTCTAAGAAAAATGGCGTTTTTGAGTCTGAGACGACGCTTTTCGGAACATTTAGATTATTCAGGTATCAATTAAATTTTTAAAAAACGCAAATTTAGACAATTAAAGCCATAAGAACATGTATAATTGAATATAATTTTCCAAGTTACTTTATCATTTTTTCTGGAGAAAATCTCGCTTAAAGTGCGCTGCAATGAGGGGCAAAGAAGATCGAAAGCACTTTATCAACACAGCATCCAATTTCTAAATAAAAATATAGACATTTCGAAAGTTAAGCTGGTACACCCCTAGTATATTATACCCTGAGGGCGATCCATAGGCGGAACAATTTATTAAAATTTTCAAATTGTGTTCGAAGGTAATGTTATTTTAATAGACCTGATGGGCTCTTCATTTAAGAAAAATTACTAATGCAACTGTTATTTATTATTTTTCTTTGTATTACTTATACATTTAAGCCTACCGCAAAAATGTTTTATCTTTTTATTTCCTGCGAAATTTTCTTGTGACAACTGTACCATGTTATACAGGCTGTCCTTTTTAGAGAACTGAATTTTTTTTAACCAATGACTCTATCAAAAGCATAAGAGTTTAATATTTTTTGTCGTTTCAAATTTTTGCCTTTTTTGGAGAAAAATTATATAGGGTACCACAGGCCCAGTTCAACTTCAAAATTTCAAATACGACCCTATCCATCCTGACAAATCATTCAAAGGATTTTTTACAATAAAAACAATGGTACAATCGGACGCACTATTCGTTACAAATTAATTTTAGTAGGTTGGAAGGAAAATAAGCAAAACCAATATTATTAAAACATTATTCAAACACAATGTAAAATTTAAAAAAAATTCTTGACAAATTAATCTGATTAAGGTTTAAGAGTATTTTTTTCGTCCGATCATCTTTTACGATAGGCGAGGCTACTGTGTTGCAGCAAATAGAGATCTGTTCGAACAATTATTATAACGATTTTGAACATTTTTGATTTGCTAACAAAGGAGATTGTTACATTTATTTAATTTTTTTGACTTTACTAGAAAAAAGAGATTGTTATATTTATTTAATTTTTTTACTTTACCAGAAAAAATACTCTTAAACAATAATCAAATTAATTTGTGAACATTTTTTTTTAATTTTTACATTGTGCTTGAATAATGTTTTAATAATATTGGTTTTGTTTATTTTCCTTCCAACCTACTAAAATTAATTTGTAACGAATGGTGCGTCGAAAAGTGACTCGCCTAGTTTTTGGTACGAGACTAACAAAATAAAATGTGCCGAGTCATAATTAGACGCACCAACGTTGATTTTCCTATGGTGCACCGAAAATTGACTCACTTTCTTTTATTAACGTATTAATCAAAGGAAATAAGCCTCGAGTCAGATTTAAACGCACCAACGTTGATTTTCCCATGGTGCACTGAAAATTGACTCACTTCCTTTTTTTAATGTTAAAATCAAAAGAAATTGGCCTTGAGTCAGATTTAAACGCACCCACGTTGATTTTCCAATGGTGCACCGAAAATTGACTAACTTTTTTTTATTCACGTATTAATCAAAAGGAAATAAGCCTCGAGTCAGATTTAAATGCACCCGCGTTTCCAATGGTGCGTCAAAAAATGACTCACCCTGTATGTACCTAACTAGGTAATTCTTGAAAATTTTATGGTGCTTTAGATTTGTATTTATTTTATTGTGATAATGATTAATGAAGCCGAGAGAAAGACTCAGGATAAAACTTATACTTCACACTAATGCTTCTGAAGTTAACATCTGAGGATGATGTCATTTTTTATCTATATAAATAAAACGTTCAGATTTACTATTCAGACTTTCAGGTCCATGGTATCATACCACGGTTCGATCGTTTTCATTTTAATACAACAAAAATTTAAATTGCTTTCTTTCAATCTGTCCTCAGAGAACAAGGAGAGGCTGATACTGTATCTGATAGTAAGCGCGGGTGCCGGTCTCGTCTGCATCCTGTGCCTGGTGATCGGCCGGCTTGCCTGGAACCGCAGAAAAGCGGCCAAGAGGACCGAAGAACAGGATCATGCGACTCAGCTGCCACGTCCTTTCACCGACGACCTGAGCGAAGTCGAGAACGACATCGACCTCACACTCGCAACACCAGTCGCCCTCATGCACCACCATTCACCTCCGGCTGCAGAGGTACGATCACAGGTTAATACTCTCATTATAAAAAGATTTACGCTTAATTCAACTTTTCTATCTCTTAACTTTCACTAAGGTTCGTTGTGTCGGTGAGCTTTGGTTGGAAGTTTTATTTTAAGTACTACCGTGGTAATAGGTCTTAGTGAAGTACTTGAATAAAACACAGACCATCTATGTGCTAATACTTACCATTTATCATTGATTTAGTCATATTCTATCAATGTTTTTCTTCCTGTCAAATGCTTTTTTAATGGTGACAACCATTACTCAAAATAGGTGGTGGTCTGAATGCATAGATCTGGAATGTCAAGTGGGTGCACTGATTAATTATTTCAACGGTTTTCTGTTACTTTTCGTCTTCAAATTTTTGAAGTATTTGACCCTTACGGACATGTTCTATTGGGCGTGCGCAGTTGAAGCTGGGTCAGCTATCCATAGCAATAATAATAAAACTTTATTAAAACCTTACAATTATTTTGCGATTTGTACGTTTTTAAGCAAAGACTTAGTTGTCTGCTGAGCTATCCATCAATGTGACATAGCTTAATTAACTTTATGGTCAATTATTTCTACAGAAAGACCTAAACAAACATTGCACCTATTGCCTAAAGAAGCGTGCATTCGGGAGGAAGATTTTTTTTCTGCGCAAAAATTTATACATTTTACAATTTGTTGGTAGCTATCAATAAAAGATCTGGCAGAAACCTGTCAGACTAGTGGGATGGGGATAGGGGTCAGGAGCCGTCCATTGCTAAAACTCTTGTATAGGATTTGAAGGTTAGGGTTTCGGGTTGTGTTACGAGGTCTATGACCTCCGTCGTTTTAGGCGGCGTAGAAGGTTGTGAGGGTGGACTGAGGAAGGAGAGCTAGTATGTATCGTGTTTCGATCATGTCCGACATGACTATCTAGGTCATGGTGGATGGTAAGGTTAGTGACGTAGAAGGTAGCGTTGTGGATGCGACCAGAACTTTTGATTGAAAGGATTGGATTCTTTGGATGGATGTTAGATGGCTTGGCTGAACCCTTCACCTCGGCTCCGTACGCGCAAATCTGTCTAATTAGTCTTGAACATTGTTAGTTTTTTTGTATCACTGTGGATTTAAGTCCAAAGTAGGCATCTATGTTGTCTACGATTCATTTCACTTTTTTTTTGTTTTATGTATTCAAGCATGCTGTCCAAGTAGAACCCAGAGTATGGGATTTGGTTGGATTGAGGGATTACCTTACTGTAAATATTCAGCGGTGGGCAGGAACTTCTTCTAGAAATGAACAGCTCTTTTGTCCATTTAGCTTCAATCGGCACCGAGTGCACCTGTCAATATTGTGGTATAGGTGTTCTCGGAAAGCTACCTGCAAGGATAGGTGTTCGCCAGCAACCAAATACAAAATGGCGCCGACGAACACCACCGAAGGTAGGGCATATAATTTGAGAAAAAATATTGGATTTAAACATTTCAGCATCAACGGGAAATGGAAGATTCCCGATTGATTAGGAGCAAATGGAAAGAAATTACAAATAAAGATAAACGATGGGATTGACTCACTGCGTATTAATACTGTTGAATGAAGCACGTGGTGGGGGCTCAGACTTGAAGAGTTGTAGACGATAGGCAGCGATGTTAGGTGATGCCTAGGCCAGTGCACTAGCCTGATTCCTGCAGCGTTGATGATGATTATGATACTAGATGATGAAATCCAGTGGCGATGACAATGAGATGATGCAATCCAGGTGGTGCCCAGTGAGATGATGGAATCTTACGGGATAATAATGGTTGATGGGGAAAGAATGATGAGATATGACGGTAATGAAAAGAGATGCAGTATAGGATGGTATAGGATGAAATATCCGGAGAGAATGGAAGATGTGAGATGGACAAAGGGGCGATGAAAGAGATGAGACCATGCGGTCAAGAGATGAATTGGACACAACGTTCCAAATCGGAAGGCGAATGGGATAATACCCGCGGCGATCATAAGGCGATTGTAAGCGGTGTTAATCACATTTGTGCAATACTTAGGGCAGAGGGAGTCGCAAAGATCCTTCCACGTTAACGGCTAGCGGACAAGTGAAGTAAAAGGAACAAAGGCAGGAAGGGATTTGGAGAAAAAGTAGGGAAGAGGTACATTGCACGTCAGAAATCGGGCGTTTTCGATAACTGCGACACGCCCGAACAATAAGGTCAGAATGTGAGGAGAGGATTGCGGTGTCCTCCGCGAAGGGTGGGTGTTAAGATGTATACTTTGTGGAAGATTGGTCCTAGGATACTCCCATCAGAGCCTTGATGGGCTCGCTGTCTGAAAATTTTCAATACTCTGGGAGATAGAATTGCCTTCTCTATCTATGGAGCTCGGGACTACCCAGGCTGATGCATTTCAGCCATTTGGGGTTACCAGTTCCGAGCGGCACAAGGAATGGACAAGCGGAGAGTGAGGTCCGTCTTGTACACCAAAACTTGCGGTTGTAACACGCATCCAGTCGTGAGCGGATGTGCGTCATCTCTCACCTTGAGAATCAAAACATCCGGTATGGCCGAAAGGCTAGGGTATGGACGTTAAAGATCCCCATGTCCTTTTAAGGGCTAACGAATACATACGGGAACCTAATGTCTAAAAATTCTATTCTCCTTGAACCAGCTATCCGAGGAGGACTTTAGGATGACATAGTAGGCGTGGGAAATAATATTTTAAAATTGAAAACAGAGTGGTACACTGTATCAAATGCCTCTGTAACATCCAGAAAAAAACATTTTCTAGGGCAGATGATATTTTTTTTCGACCACTCGTAACTACTGGGAGGATGTAGAAATACCAATCCACTTTGCTTTCTACCTTGAATATTCTTTAGCCAGAAGACTTTTTACTAAACTTGTTAAACTAATTGTTTTTTCCACAACGTGGTCTTAGTTTTTCTTTCAAATTCAGCAGCCAGGAGCGTACAATGAATCTATTGTTTTTAAGACCTCACAGTAATACTACTGTAATATGATGTAAATGCGCATTGCCCGGTTGAGTGCATCAGGAATGGACAACACATGAATTTTAATTCAAACGGGCCGAAACGGCGAGAGGCCATTCCGTATTCATTCCCGTTTTCATATTCAATGTAAATAAATTTCGTCGGCCTGGCGAAGTTCGGCTCGTATTAATCGCAAAGTAAACCAGTAAAAACAAGCGGCTTTGTCATTTACTCCACGGTTGTTTTCCTCTATTTCTTCTTTCTTTCCAAAAGTAATTTTCTCTGTTTTTAAGAGCTGGGAGCCGATAGTTTGGGAGCTGCTGTTGAGGACGAGGCAGGCCGGAGTGGAGGATCCGATCGGTCGTACTAGTTTCTGAAGTTTCGACATAGTGAGTTGGGACCCTAAAAAGCGTAGAATTTGATCGCACTCCAAGAGTAGTTTGGTTTGAAAGTGTCTCGTATAAAATCCCACCACTTTGTAGTTTTCTATATTCGTTTGTTTTGGATGATGTAGGAAAACCAGAGTTAGATTATTATTGCCCATTAGATGTCCTAGATCTTCGAAATATTAATCATTAATTGTTTTTTAATATATTTTTAGCCTTTTGATATCAATCGCAGACATTCAATTCAAAATAAGCTAAAGTCTATAGGGATTTTCCCCCAAGAACTCTTCTTGAAGGATTGATGTTGGAATTGTACATAGCTCATTAAAACTCCACCAACAAAACAAAGTTTGACTAATCCGCGGCAGCCAAATAAAAGAAACAGTTGAGGATTTTCGATCGGAATTACGCTATGCATAGAGCGGCTTAGAAGCCAAAGATGGTCGAGAAGAAAAGGTCCCGGGTCGGGCTTGCGGGACTTGTCCCTACTCCAAGCCTGGGACTTGTCGGAATGCGATGAATAAAGGGAAAAGAAGGATCGACACGTCAACTAATATTACGGAACCCTCACACGCACAATAGAAGAGGCGGGATAAGTTCCGTCTCCGTCCGAGAGGAAAAAATCCCCTGGATAAAAACATCGAACTCTTATAAAAGTTTTGAGAAGGCATATATTTAATATTTCTTATTAATTGCAATTTGAAACAATAATAGTAAACTTTAGTTATTACAAACAAAAAACAAACGATTTTATCAAATCCGGTCTTAAAAGCTTTAACCGTTTTCAAAAGGAAAACGTCGTCTGAAAGATGGAAAATCCCTTCAACATTCTGGCTTTGATGTAGTTTCGTAAAGTTGGCCATTCACGATCGCTCATAGCAGTCCAAACGAGCGACGCCGTTCCAAAAACCACGTCAATGGCAAAACTGAACTGGCCGAATATTCGACCGGTCCAAACTCCATCTCGCCACTCCAAATTTCTACGGCGCAACGACGGAATGGCGCGTTCGTGAATAGGAAACCCGCGTTTTTTTGGCGCAGTCTTTCTGTCACTGAGCAAACATCTCCGTCGTACATTCTCAAAAAGTCAAAAACGTTTATTCTTTATTGGTAATGACATCCAATCGAGATTTTATTGTTGAGTGATTGAATTGTATGAATGTTTACCATGTTTATGGAAAGTGGTGGACAATGATTACCACGATAGAAATAAAAGAAATTCGATCCTCAACCAGTTGGTCGACGTTTTCAAAACAAAGGATACAAATGCAATGAGAGATGCGGTATTGATAACCCCTAACAATGATCAGAAATCGTAGTAGAGAACTTAAGTTCTTTGTAGTTCATCCCTGTAGCGAGAAATCGTAATGTGGTTGCCAACCTTTCATGTAGTGATGATTTCTCTCATGACTGTCTTTTGTTTTCTAATCAAGGGGGTAACAAGCTGGAGTAAATATAAATAAGACGTTAATCTTTTTTTTGTAAGGTTTTGGTTGAAATGAAAAAATAGTGTCACGAGGGGATTCGAATCCACGACATTCGGCTAAATACGCCGCTGCGCTAACCACTTGAGCTATCCTGACTTCGATAGTTCGATCCACTCGGGCACCAACTCCCCATCTCAACCTACAACCTTTCGAATTTTCTCTCTTTTTGCCATTTTTTGGTGTCGGAGAGGATCGAAGTCACGATAGCTCAAGTGGTAGAGCAGCGGCGTATCAAGCCGAAGATCGTGGGTTCGAATCCCGCTCGTGCCATTGACTTTTTTATCTCAACTAAAACCTTAATTAATTGTATGATAAAATTCCAATCTTAAACTAAGTAAAATCAGATAGGCAGAAAAGATCATTAATAAAAAATTAATCTTTTTATGTAAGATTTTTGGTTGAAATGAAAAAGATTTCACTCATTCGACGCGAAATTTAAAATTTTTTCATTTTGGTTTTAATATTTTCAGTAGGTGTTGGCGAGTGTAGAGAAAAACTGAAAACAGTGCAAATTTTCGTGTTTTTCTGGCAACCAAAAAGTTTATCGCACCTCCTGAACTCGGTTTTTAGGTAATTTGACTGAAATAACTATTAAATTCACTAGTTTTCGTGGCCCGCTTGACCAGTTAAAATTTTTCAATTACCTAAGGTTTTTAGTTCAGATAAAAAAGTCAGTGTCACGAGTGGGATTCGAACCCACGATCTTCGGCTAGATACGTCGCTGCTCTACCACTTACTCTATCGTGACATCGATCCATTCCGACACTAACTTCCCATCTCAACCCAACTTTTTGAATTTTCCCTCCTTTTTGCCATTTTTTTAAAATGTCGTGTAATCTATTTAATTCTCGGCAACAAATGGAATGGCCACGGAGAGCTTTAGTGAGGATATACTTCATTTTAACATTCAATTCACTAGTTTTTTTGGTCCGCTTGACCAATTAATATATTTCAATTAATTAAGGTTTTTAGTTGTGATAAAAAAGTCAGTGTCACGAGCGGGATTCGAACCCACGTTCTTCGGTTAAATACGCCTCTGCTCTAACCACTCGAGCTATATGACCTAGAGCAGCGGGGTATTTAGCCGAATGTCGTGGGTTCGAATCCCGCTCGTGACACTGACTTTTTTATCACAACTAAAAACCTTAATTAATTGAAATATATTAATTGGTCAAGCGGACCACAAAAACTAGTGAATTGAATGTTAAAATGAAGTATATCCTCACTAAAGCTCTCCGTGGCCATTCCATTTGTTGCCGAGAATTAAATAGATTGTTTAATGAACGGAATGGCTTCATCGATTGTTTGGATCGAGTTGATAACGTGACTCAGTTGAGGTACAATGAAACAATTTTTCATTTTGTGTATTTACAAGGCAATGGAGAAGCAGAAGAGAAAGAGAGAACATTGGATTCGTCCTTTGAATATGAAAATGGTAGCACTTGGTCAATGCCGGTATGGGGAACTTCGACGCTAGCCTGTCAAGTTCATCCAATACTAAGGGATGACTATAGAACTTCCACAATTGGTCCAAGCCCATCCTAGATCAGCTTCACTTGCAGTTGGCGTGTCCGACTGCCTACCTCTTCTACGCTTGTCCGTCGTCAGTGTGGTGCAAACTTTGCCCTTTTTAGACGGAACCCAGCGGAACTTCCATCGACGGACGCTGGTGCACCAACGGACTTCGACGGAGACATTACGACGGACGTCGTTAAGCCTGTCGCTGGCTGTTTGTTTTGAATGTAAGCATGTGCAGCGGAAATTCGCAAAAACTTCCGTCACATTCCTTCTAGTGTGGCGCCGGCCTTAAGATTGCGCGTAGGTCACATAATCATGGGCACCTTCTGGCCGGATAGTGACCGCGTGGGTGCCGTTATCAAGAATAAAATAACAGTTGAGCACATTTCCATTGTGGAGGCTAGGAGTGGGTTCGACCCTGCACCAAAGACAAGTACTCTGGTTGAATGATCCTGACCGGACCTCTATGTTTGTATCGGGTGAGTTTAACTTAATTGGTTGAAATAAATGTGAAGTAGTTATTAACCAAGGTAACCAAGAAAAGCGCAGTTCAATACACAGTTGACTAAAGAAATCTGTTTACAAGTCGAAGCTTCAGAATCAACTGACTCAGTGTGTTCGCCAGCAGCCAAATTTTAAATGGCGCCAACGAACACCACCGGGAGAGAGGAATTGAAATTAATAAAAGGATTGTTTCGGCACCAACGGGAATGGAAGATTCCCGATTTTAAGAGGGTTGTTAGTTTAGGAATGGTTAAATGAAGGAATAAAAAATGAACGAAAGGATAATTAAAGACTTACTGTTTAATGAAGCTTCTATGGCTTACAAAGTGGCAGATGATTGTATTGGAGGTGTGAAGGCGATGACGGTCTGAAGGCGATGAAGACCGGGAAGCGGTGAAGGTCTCCTGAATGCGATATCGTGCGTTGTTTGACGATGATTAGGCCGGTACCTGGTTCCTGCAGCGTCGTTGATGATGATGCTGTATTGTGCAATCCAGTAGCGGTGAGGATGAGATGATGCAAACCAGGTAGTAGCCAGTGACATGATGGAGTCTTCGCGGGATAATGAAAGGATGTTTCGTTCGCGGGATTATAATGATGGTAGATGGAAGAAGGAGATGATATATTGAGGGGAAATGGCGATGATAGGTTTGTGGACCATGCGGTCGTGAGATGGGACGCACGCGGAGGTGAAGATCGTATGGCGATTTGCGGGGGAATCCGTGGGTGAGGAAAACTTTAAGAAGCGGCGATCTTACACGGAGGTGAGTTACTAGGATATAGGGCGATAGGACGTGTGCTCGCTCCGAGAGCTGGCGGAGAAGAGAGCCCAAGAGGGCTGGAAGGGATGGGTTTTTGAGGAAAAAGGAGGGAAGTGTATTACGATTGGTGGATTTCTAGAAGATAGGGGTTGTAGATAGAGGGGTACAATCTACGTCGCAAATCGGGCGCTTCGGTGACGTAGACGCGCCCGAACACAGTGCTTAAGAACCCTGCGTCGCAAAATAATCCCCAGTCTATGCCTGAGTCACCCTCTAGCTTCACTTAACTCACTTTATTAAAAGATAAACACTACAGAATGTAATTTATTAGCGTGAAAAGAAGGGGTTAGTCAACTCCGCTCCGGGTAATATCGAGTACTGTGAGGTGAGTTTGTGACGTCTGGAGAGTAAAAGTAATTTATTAGCGAGAATGTAATGGGTTTGACACCGCCCCGAGTTAATATGACTAGATTTCTATGGTTGTATAAGGTGTGTTTAAATGAATTTATTGGAATTAATATAATTCATTAGCTTGAAAAATTGAAGGAGTCGGTTCAATCCGCCCCGAGGAATATCGAATACTCTGCAGTGCGATTGTGATCAGACTTCTACGTTTGTACAGAGTGATGTACATATATGTTTTTTATGCTTTGTGGTTATTCGGTAGTTGACAACCTACAAGAGAGGATTTTAGGATGTTAGTTTTCAAAAGGCTTGAAAAATACCCGTAAAAAACCATGAAAAGAAGTACAAACACGCAGAGGCCCGGCGATGACCTCAACTGTTTTTCAGCACCTAAACTTCCCACATTATATAAATGTACATAGTTTTGACATATTTAAACCGCCTCACACATTGTCACTAATTTCCAAAACCTTTTCAATTCCCTTATGTAAATTAATATTTAATTTATTAACTTAATTATATTTTCCAGGTCGTGCGATTTAGCGGAGATGATACGGTACCCAGGAGTCTGTCCAGGTCAGGACCGAATTCTCAATATTACTACGGCTGACAGAGGGATGAGTGCGCGAGCTCGCAACCGTCGCGCACTTACTGTTTTTAAGGCTTAAAGCACAGATTTTTTCATATAAAAAACAAAATAAAAAATACAAATAAAAATAGAGAAATAAAACAAAAAAAAAGGTAAAATTTATTCATATTTTTTATTTTATGCTATCAGTGTTCTGCAGGCGTATAAAATGCCACCCGTCGTGTAACCTGTTAGAATGAAATTTTACTTGGAAAATAATGAAATAATTTATCGATTAATTTTCTTAAATAAAAAGACTGACAGTTTCTCTAAACTGCGGGGCGTCCTTAATATTTCAAATATTATTTCTTCTGGTTATGATGTACATAGTAGACGAAGTCAGGAAGAAAATAGTTAAATTAAAAGAAATAACATATATTTAAAAGAATAGCCTATTCTAATCTAATGAAAATTAAAAAAAAAAGAGTGCGCCAACTTTACAATCTGATTTAAAAATTGTACTTAAAGTCTTGTCATTAAAAAAGTTAAATATATATTGGCTCGTTTTTAGTGTAAATTAATCCTTTTCAGAGTACCAATTTTAAAAATTTAATTTTTTATAATAAAATCATAAAACCTTTTATTTATGATATTATTATATTAAGTTGGTTTAATGTGTTTTAAATTTAATTCAAAACTAAAATTTTTGACCATTTAACTGCACATTGCATAACATTTACAACATTTTCTATTTTGTGTCACGCTTTACCTTTTATTTGATGAGTGTATAATTTTTAAAAAATCATGGATAAGCCTAACCCGACCGTAATCGTAACCTTAACCTTTCTAATCTTCTAACCTCTCTAATCCTTAATCTCCTTATCCTTAACTTTACTTAGAGACTTTTATCCACTTGTTGCGTGTTCATTCGCAACGGTACAACCCATTTCTTTGCCTGACCATCACACGGTATCCATAAAAAGAGTATCAGGAACTGCAGATACGCCGGAATGAAATACTGTGAACGTTTTAGGTCCCACAGCAGGTCCTTTTTATAAATAATTTTCTTAAAAATAATAATCTTAAAACTAATCCTAACCTTGGTTAAAATTTAAAAAGGAATCAGCTCCTTAGGAACTTGCGCGACTGATATTTGTCTATTGTGCAACGACGATTATTATCCAGAGCTCTTCGTTAAGTTTAAAGCTTTCCAGATTTCAAAGCTTCGTTAAGGGTAAGAACCTTCAGACCTTGATTTTTTCAATCTCAAAAGTTGGCTAGTAATTATACAAATTATCGATATTTTTAGCCCTACAAAACTGATTAAAGGCAATTACAGTATATAGTGACGTCGAATGTATTGTTCTATATATTGCAAGTGCGGTTAATCTTCCTGGCTGATACCTGCACAGTTTCTGATGTTTTTGAATTGTTCCGTCAGCAGACAATCATTCTAGTCTTAGCATGTCTTAGGTTTAGGAGTTCTGCCTATGGTTTCTGCTATCTAGCGTAACCTGTTCCTAATCCTAACCTTACCTAACCTAACCCAACCCATTCGCACTCTCCCATTACGTGAAAAAAAATTAATTTAACCGGCCCAAAAACATATCCATGTTAAAACCTATATTGTAAAAATAATAATGCCACTAACAACGATCAGGTTGAAAGTATGGCTTGCATTCTGTGAATCCAAAGAAAATGTACATAGTCCGATGTACATAGACTTTATTTTGTTTTGTAAATAGGAAAAATAAATAAGGAAGTTTTAGTCAGCATCCATTTTAACTTATTTTTTTAAACAATTATATAAACGGAACAACTTTATGTTTTACTTTTCAAAGCCCCTACTACCTCTTGTTTGTCCTAATATTAATTAGTAATTATTATTGTTGTGTTTTTTCTATCTAACCAAAGTAACCAATAGGGTAATCGAGAGAATTAAGTCAATTTTTTAGTTTTAATAACAGTAAATTACGGGCGGTTCTGGAGAAAAAATCCAGGAGATGAGCCGCTTTTTAACGGTAGAATTTTTTTCTGATATAATTAGTTAAAGGTCGGTATCAGTGCATCCTGGCATCTTTTTTCCTGCCGTCCGTTTAAATTAGTGAAAATTTAACCAATAAATTTTAGAGTGTCTAATATACTTATGTGTGTTTTATTTTTTATTTTGTAACATATCATTCAATTCATCTTCATATCTGTCTATTTGTATTGTAAAGTAATTAACAAGGGAAAAAATTACGAAAAAACCCCCGGTGTCTCTAATCAGAAAATTCTAGCGTTTAACTGATAATCTGTGTTTGTACAATTTCTGTTTGAACCTATGCAACAAATTATATTTAAATATGTAAAAAAAATTATAAATGTTTTAATATTGGCCGAGGCGGATAGCAGAGGACAATCCTTGTTGTTTATTTTAAAAAAATTCAATTTTATTGCTGTTCTTTAAAAGAAAACTAGTAATTGAAAAGAAAATGAATTTGTTTGTTGACCACGCTATGCCAATGCTCAATTAAATTTGTTTCCACGAATCTATGAAAAAAAATGTTTTCAATGTATACATAATAAAATAAATTATAATTGTTAATGAAAATGTATTTAGATATATAATTATATTAATATTGAGTAAGCATTTTTGTGTAATGTACAGAGCATTAAAATTTGTTAACTTATTTGGAATAAAAATATGTTTTACAATTGTTTTTTTTTCTTTTATTGCCCCAAAAATATTTTTTTGAGTATGTCGACAAAAAAGGTTAAATCTGTACATACAGGGTGAACGATTCAGAATGGTGCAACTTTCGGTTAACTTGTGCCAAGAGTAGAATCATAACTTTTTCGTTTAATGCATCAGACATTTTTACGATATGCACAGTAGGACAAACGTAAAAGCTAAACTTAAGAGTGATTGTTTTAAAGATAAAATTTAAATATGGATTGAAGAAATTCAATCTTTTTTTAATTACTCAAAAGCCTCAAGCGTTAAAAATAATTATTTACTCCATTATATTTCTTGGTCCGATTGACCATATAACTTCTTTTCATTAATTAATCTTTATGAAAGGTATTAGTTTAAATGAAAAATTTAGTGACACGAGCAGGATTCGAAACCACGACCATTGGCTGAATTTACCGCTGCTCTAACCATTTGAGCTATTCGTAGGTTTTAAGTTCGAATCCCGCTCGTGCCACTAACTTTTTCATTTCAATACCTTCCATAAGTATTAATTAATTGAAAAAAATTGTAATAAAAAAGAAAGTAGGTTTTATTAGGATATTCTTCATCCAAACCAAACGTTAATTCTAGCAAACACAACTCACATTTGGAGCGAGTAAAGTAAGCATTTGATCAACAACAGTGTTCACAGAGGAAAATCTTGGTAAAAAACGCAGCGACCCACTGTTAACAACTCTACAAGCCATATTACATTCAAGGAAGGTGTGGGCTTTAATATGAGATTCTTCATCCCATCCAAACAGTTAATTCTAGAGTATACTGCGTACAAATGGTCAATTAATGTCATAATCGACCATAAAAGACTGGCAGTCTTTGCAGGAGAGCCAAAAATTGCTAGAGCTTGACTGGAATGTACTACCATTCGCATGGCATTTTTTCACATCTTCACTTATTCCAGGTTTTAAAAAACTTAACGGGAAAACTTTACTTTGCTTGAGGACTGCAGAAAATACATCGAGAACTTCGCTCAAAAACCCCAAGTTCTGGGCAGATGGAGGTACAAATTTACGTGAAAGATGGCAACAAAATGGTTCATACATTGTTCATTAAATCTTTGTACATGTACCTGAAGTTTTCATTGAACTTAAGGTCAAGAGACACTATGGACATATCTTATTATCAGATAGATTAGCTCCAGAGAATTGCTTCCTAAGCCTCGATAGACTCTGGAATTATTTCGATAACTTACGAACACGTTAACCTGTTTTATACTGCCACACATACACATTTCAATTGTTCCACTTGTTTTGATTTCCTTGCCCAACACATATTAAACATAACTTTGACGTTTCAGTTCATTACAAATTATTTCCCATTTATTTTTACACCAAATATTAGGTTTAATTGCCATTTCATCTTGGATATCACGTATAGGCCAGAAAAATTAAAGAAAAGCTGGAATTAGTTTTAACATATTTATTTCATTTCAATTAATTAAGGTTTTTAGTTGAGATAAAAAAAGTCAGTGTCACGAGCGGGATTCGAACCCACGATCTTCGGCTAGATACGCCGCTGCTCTACCACTTGAGCTATCGTGACCTCGATCCACTCGGACACCAACTCCCCATCTCAACCCCACCTTTTGAATTTTCCCTCCTTTTTGCCATTTTTCAAATGTCGTGTAATCGGATTGGATTCTCGACGACAAATGAAATGGCCACGGAGAGCTTTAGTGAAGTATACTTCATTTTAAATCATTAAATTCACTAATTTCGTGGTCCGCTTGACCAATTAATATATTACAATTAATTAAGGTTTTTAGTTGAGATAAAAAAGTCAGTGTCACGAGCGGGATTCGAACCCACGACCTTTGGCTGAATTTACCGCTCCTCTAACCACTTGAGCTATTCGTAGGTTGTAAGTTCGAATCCCGCTCGTGCCACTAACTTTTTCATTTCAATACCTTCCATAAGTATTAATTAATTGAAAAAATATTGTATTTACGTTTTGTTTGTAATTCCTTTAAATTCCTTTTGTGTATTAAAATATGCACTAGGCTGATTCGCCATATATTACTATTATTATTATATATCGAGATATTATAATAAGTACATTCAAGAAGGTCTTGTTAGTCGATGTAATTTGGTATGAAGATAATGGCCGAAACGTCGGCAAAAATGAAAGAAGGCGTTTTTCTAAACGACCAAGTTCTTGACCGCTCCTCACGACTTCAACGAATTTTAAAAAATAAATAACTTAGAAAGAAGTAACAATCGGACACAGCCACCCCCGAAAATGAATCATTAGGTTTCCTTACCTTGCCATACATTGGGGAACTAACGCGAAAAGTAGGTAAAATCTATAAACGACAAGGTTCTAGAGTAGCATTTAGAAGTGGGTGAGCTCTTAAAAAAATACTCTCAAAACCTACAAACAAGGTTGACAACTTACTAGTAATGATTGTGATATAAATGTGATATATACGACAAATGTGTGATGATTAGTGACCGTTAATCGATATTTATTTAGAAATCGTGGGATGCGGTCTGGTGTGATGTAGGTTTCAGACACTCTCGACACGACACGCAAGAATGGCACAATTACACAGAAGACAAACACTTTGAGTGAGTAGAAATACTTTGATTGAATATATAAAAAATATAAATAAATATACATAAATTCACTTTTCCACATCCAAAATGTAATTGTAATATGTAAACAATGTTTGTAAATCCCTGGCCCTGAAGCTGATCTCAATAAAGATCGAAACGTTGGCACGATAAAATGTTTTTCTGAAACCTACATCACACCAGACCGCATCTCACGATTTCTAAATAAATATACGACAAAGCAGCAGTGAAATTAAAACGAAGTTAAAAAAACACATCCCTAAATGGAGAAAATTTTCTGAATTTAAGGATTACCTACATTAGAAAAAAATTCAATTTAAATTCAAAAACAACAGTATTATACAGTTTTATGGAAAAAACCGGGAAGTAACTAGATTGGTAAGACAATTTTGAATTTAAAAAATGTAAGATTAAATATGGAGATAGATACATAAATAAATAATGTGATAGATCCATTATTTTTCGTGGTCCATTGATCAAATAAGTTCTTTCAATTAATTGAACTTTATATAAGGTATTGGTTGAATGAAATGAAAAGTTAGTGTCACGAGAGGGATTCGAACCCACGACCTTTGGCTAAATACGCTGCTGCTCTACCACTTGAGCTATCGTGACTTCGATCAACTCGGACACCAACTTCCCATCTGTACCCCACTTTTTGAATTTTCCCTCCTTCCCATCTGATTTATCGCCGAGAATCGAATCCTGATTACACTACATTTGAAAAATGGCAAAAATGAGGGAAAATTGGAAAGCTTGTAGGTTGAATGAGAAGTTCGTGTCCGAGGGGATCGAAGTCACGATAGCTCAAGTGGTTAGAGCCGAAGGTCGAGAGTTCGAATCCCGCTCGTGACACTGACTTTTTCATTTCAACCAATACCTTCCATAAAAATTAATTTATTGAAAAAATTGTATTTTAGTTTTGTTTGTCCACCATTAATTCCTTTAAATTTGTTTTGTGTATTAAAACATACACCAGGCTGATTCGTGCTTTAACAAGTACATCCAAGAAGGTCTTATTAGTCGATGTAATTTGAGAAAATAGTTATAAAGGTTGGAAACATACAAAACCATTAATTTACCATCCAATGAATCGAATTCAGACAATTCAAACTTCCAATTAATTACAAAGAATTATGATACACCATGGTTCTCAAACCTATGTGGACTTATGGTATCGAATTCTGGAGGTCAACCGAGCATTCCAATTCCCAACGCATCCAAAGATTCCACACAAAAGTTTTAAGAAAAATTGTTAACCTCCTTATTCAAACTTCACCCTACAATGATATTTAATATTCTCTTAGTTCGAGAAGTAGCGAAAAGCTATTTAAAAAAATTCCATTAATCCCCTTTTTCCACACATCCCAATGCCTTGGTCCATCAGCTCCGTTGCACTTCCATCCCAAATAATCCTCCCCGTCGATTGAGACGCCCTAAGTGACGAAGAAATTTGAAAAGTGGTCATGTTTATTTTTTTCTAAAAGATGCTCACCACTGGGTGATTCTCCTCATACGTTTTTCATGTCAATTTTATTCTTATAGCATTTTTTTCGGTGTATTTACAGATGTAAAAATCAATCATAGCAGATAAATAAAAAGAATTTTTTAAGGTCGCAATCATATAAAGATGGTTTCTTAATCTGAAAAAAATATTTTGCATATTTGCTGATAAACTTAACTGACAACGAGAAGGGTCTGATATTGAAAAGTGGGTAGAATTTTTGAAATAAATAAGTCTTAAAGGCCGTCTTGTGTTATCGAAACCACTCAGAAGCGATTCGAGATAAAATTTCTCTACTCGGCACCAACTCGACAGTTTCACACAACATGGCTAAAAAGGAACATCTACACGTGATACCGACTCTGGTATTTTTCAACTGTATAATCACTTTCACGATCACGTAAGTTTTTTTACTTGCTTTCTTCAAATGGATTTGAATAGAAACCTTGAAAAAAAACGATAAATTGTTCAAAAGCTGAATTTCTGTGGATTTTGATATTTGTGTGCACCGGCTTTTGGCTTTTTTTTTTAAGTGTTATGATTGTATAGGATACTAAAATAAATTGCCGAACAATCTAACAAGAAACGTCACAGAATTTCCCAAGAATATTTTTTCCCGCAATCTAATTTATTTGAAAATAAAACTCTTCAGATTTATTCAAAAGATCTCTTCAATCATAATTTACAGAGGCCGTGAAATAAGATAAAACTCACTGTTTCCAATCTTTCGTAACAAAATTGGACTGTCTGACGTCTTTTTGATAAGTTGTAACATGAAACGATAATTGCAAACAAGATAAAATATTTTTCAACAGGAAGAAATTTTAAATTGTACAGGTGTTTTTTACATGTATACATTCATATAAGATGTTGTAAAAAATATTACTTACATTTTATTTTTTAAATTTATTTGTTACCTATATAAATATGTATACATGATTAATGTATCACACAACACGACGCTAGCACTAATGCCAGCACTGCACCGGTAGAACACATGCTTTGAGAAGCCAGCCATTGCTGGTACTCAGTGTGTGTGATTAGGTCCGTAGGAGGTCCCGAGGCCACCGTGGTTGAGGCGACGTGGTGGGTTGTCAGGATGGGAATGAGCGGAAAAGGCTCGAGCAGTGTGGTTAGGATGGTTCGAAAGGTTGGCGTGAAAGGTTTGGAACCTGGACCGGATGATAGAAGGTATGTTGAGGTCTTTGTGGATAGTGAGGTTAGTGACATAATAAGGTGCTTTGACAATTTATATAAGGACTTTTGATTGGAAGGACTAGAAGTGTTGGATATTGGAAGGCTTGGCAGTATCCCACAGTTCCACTCCGTATGTTCATATTGGCCGTAGTAAAGTCTTGTACAGTGTTAGCTTTGTCTTAATTGTCAAAATCGGTTTCGGTCTTAGAAATCTTCGTAGTAGCCCAAGTCTTGTAGTAAGTTGTTGTTTTTTAAGTCTTGTGGAAACTGGTATCTCTTTCTTGTTGATGTACAATAGAGGGCAAAACTTCTTTTTCAGCGTAAAAGTACTCTGAGTGCATTTTTCTTCGTTCAGTCTTGTCCTCCATTTTTTACACCAGTCTTCGATAAGCTCAAGATGCTATATAAATATTACTCAGTGTGTGTGATTAGGGGCCAAGGAGGTCCCGAGGCCACCGTGGTTGAGGCGACGGGTGGGTTGTCAGGATGGGAATGAGCGGAGAGTACTCGAGCAGTATGGTTCGGATGGTTCAAAAGGTTGGTGTGAAAGGTTTGGAACCTGGACCGGATTTGTTCGTTGACAAAAGGTATGTTGAGGTCTTTTCCGATAGTGAGGTTAGTGACATAATAACCTCCATTGACAATTTGTCTAAGGACTTTCGATTGGAAAGACTAGATGCATTGGATATTGGAAAGCTTGGCAGTACCCTCCAGTTCCACTCCGTATGACCATTGGTCTTAGTAAACTTGTACAGTGTTAGCTTTGTCTTAATTGTCAAGGCCGATTTCGGTCTTAGAAGTGTGTGTGATTAGCGGCCAAGAAAGTCCCGAGGCCATCGTCGGCTGAGGCGACGTGATGGTTGTCAGGTTGGGAATGAGCGGAGAGTACTCGAGTAGTATGGTTAGGATGGTTCGAAAGATTGGTGTGGAAGGTTTGGAACCTGAACCGGATTAGTTGTTGACAAAAGGTATGTTGAGGTCTTTGCCGTATGCTGAGGTATGTTGAGTGAGGTTAGTGACATAATAACGTCCATTAATAATTCGTCTAAAGACGTTCGATTGGAAGGAATGGATGGATATTGGAAGGCTTGGCAGTACCCAGTTCCGTTCCGTATGTCCATATTGGTCTTAGCAAAGTCTTGTACAGTGTTAGCTTTGTCTTAATTGTCAAAGCCGATTTCGGTCTTAGAAGTCTTCATAGTAGTCCAAGTCTTGTATTAAGTTTTTTAAAGTCTTGTGTGGGGATTCCACGTCAGTCTGCTGTCGAGATCATTACTTACATAAGCATATTACGAACCAACGTTCTTCTTTGTTCTTCCTTGTCCAAAAATTTGAAGGTTAGCATTTTGATATCTTTTTTTCTACCCTGGATTCAGAAGTTTCCGTTTGGTCAAGGGCCAGGAAAAATATTTTGTGGACTGTTTTGGTGTTCGACTGTCGCAATACATCTTCTAATAGGCAACAAACTCACCATATCCGCTTAGAATTTGTGTCAATTTAAAAAACATTAAATTCACTAATTTCGTGGTCCGCTTGACCAATTAATACATTACAATTGATTAAAGTTTTTAGTTGAGATGAAAAAAAAGTCAATGGCACGAGCGCGATTCGAACCCACGATCTTCGGCTAGATACGCCGCTGCTCTATCACTTGAGCTATCGTGACCTCCAACGAAAACCGATTACACGACATTCGAAAAATGGCATAAGGAGGGAAAACTCATAAGGTGGGGTTGAGATAGGAAGTTGATGTCCGAGTGGATCGAGGTCACGATAGCTCAAGTGGTAGAGCAGCGGCGTATCTAGCAGAAGATCGTGGGTTCGAATCCCGCTCGTGCCATTGACTTTTTTCATCTCAACTAAAAACCTTAATTAATTTTAAAAGACATTCTTCATTCTACAAGTCTGTTCCTGTCTTGAATGGATGGTAGAAATTCTCTGGTCAATCTTACTTTATTCGACTGCCGATTTCGATTCCGTTTCATCCTGCTGGCCGTCTCTAGTTTAGATATTGAGAGCGAGGTAGTACGCGGTATATAATAGACTTTTTGTGCAGCATCTTTAGCTAAGCCATCGGCCTGAATCTTTCATGACCTTTCACCCATCTAATCTTGATATTCTTCCCTTTTCGAATAATGTTTGTGATTAGGTTTCAAATATTCTCTAGAAGTGGCATACGGTTATTACGGTCGGCGATGGAGTCCATGGTGATTCGAGGGTCTGTGTTTATTGGAAAATTTATTGGTGAATTTTTTTCATCCTTATAAATTCAGTTCATTGACTTTAGCATTGCAAGTTGCTCCGTATGTTTGTTTGAGCATCTCCCTTCAAGTTCATACTATTTATGAAATAAGTATTTACCAAATTCGTAAGTTCCAAATGGACAGCTATTCCAGATTTGTGTGTGTGTGTGTGTGTGTGTGTGTGTGTGTGTGTGTGTGTGTGTGTGTGTGTGTTTTACGTTTATTAAATAAATCGAGGATATACTTAAAAATTAGAAAAAATCTTGTCAGCACTTGGTTCTAGTATACGTCTGAAGCGTTTTTTCAATTGTTTTAATTTATCCCTCTTCTGTTTTGACACAATATTTATTATTCATTATTGATTACCCACTCTGAAAAGGGATTTCATAAGCACTTTTTATTCGTCGTTTTCGTTTAATATCTCGTATTTTAACAAGACGATTTGCTAATTTAAAATGCAAGGGAAAATTGTACAGTTTCGTCGTTTAAAGTTTTTTTTTTTATTACCAGAAAGAAAATCGTAATACGGACTGATAAGAAAATTTGTGATGTTTATGGTGATGACGATTTATGAGAAAGCGCTGTCCTTGAGTGGTTTGCTCGGTGAAGAAACGGAGATTTTTATTTGGATGAGTGGTCTTGTCATCAACCGACGATGATGACTAAATTCAAGCTTTTGTCAGAAATAACAAACGAGACATCGTAGACACGTTTAACATATTTCATACAATCGTTCTTCTGAATATTTGGCGAAATATGGTCAATATATTGACGGAGATAAATTTATTGGTCCGCAACTACATCTGCAATTCTCTCCAGAAAGACAATGTGAACATTTTTAAAAAAATTGATAACTGGGGTAGAAAAATAATATTCAGAAAAGAAAATCTTGAGAAAAACGCAGCGATCCACTGTTAATAGCTCTAAAAGCCGGATTACATCCTAAGAAGTTACATGTACTTGGTACTGTTGGAAAGAGATCGTTTATAATCAGATTCTTCCTTACAACCAAATCGTTAATTGTAGCATATCCTGCAAACTATTCTATCCATGCAAATCAACCAACAACATGAAGTATAATCCTGGTGAAAACGCAGCGACCTAACGTTCTAACTGCAAATCCGGATTACATCCCAAGAAAGGAAAGGTTTTATTAGGATATTCTTCATCCAAACCAAACGTTAATTCTACCAAACACAACTCACATTTGGAGCGAGTAAAGTAAGCAATTTATCAACAACAGTGTTCACAGAGGAAAATCTTGGTCAAAAACGCAGCGACCCACTGTTAACAACTCTACAATCCATCTTACATTCAAGGAAGGTGTAGGCTTTAATATGAGATTCTTCATCCCATCTAAACCGTTAATTCTAGAGTATACTGCGTACAAATGGTCAATTAAAGTCATAATCGACCATAAAAGACTGGCAATTGTCTTTGCAGGAGAGCCAAAAATTGCTAGAGCTTGGCTGGAATCTACTACCATACGCCTGGCATTCTTTCACATCTTCACTTATTCCAGGTTTTAAAAAACTTAACAGGAAAACTTTACTATGCTTAAAACTGCAGAAAATACATCGAGAACTTCGCTCAAAAACCCCAAGTTCTGGGCAGATGGAGGTAGAAATTTACGTGAAAGATGACAACAAAATGGTTCATATATTGTTGATTAAATCTTTGTACATGTAGTGAAGTTTTCATTGAACTTAAAGTCAAGAGACACTATGGACTTATCTTATAATCAGATAGATTAGCTCCAGAGAATTGAGTCCTAAGCCTCGATAGACTCTAGAATTATTTCGATAACTTACGAACACGTTAACCTGTTTTATACTGCCACACTTACACATTTCAATTGTTCCACTTGTTTTATTTCCTTACCCATTACATATTAAACATCACTTGACGTTTCAGTTCATTGCAAATTATTTCCCATTTATTTTTACACCAAATATTAGGT